GGTGTGAATGATTCGAACTTCAACCTGAGGGGGTGTAAGGCGATGTGTCTAAGCACATGGGAAGCGATGAAAACCAGCTGCGCCTTCTACAGGTGCACAGTCACCAGGGTATCCAGAGGGGGAACCAGGACTGAACTCCTCTGAAACGCTGGGTACTAGCGCCAAATATGAGATGGCGGCTAGGAGGAACGTCATCATGAACTTTCTAAGAAAGCGGCTCGGATGGCTAACTGTAGAATAATTTCCCATGGTATTTATAACCTATGTTAGACCCCACCCAGAGATATTCAACACGTACGCCCACTCCCTCTACCAAAGGAAGACGCAAATACTCTCGAGAAGGTACAGAGAAGAGCGACAAGGTCATTCGTCGGACTGACGGGCAAAACATATGCACGACGCCTCAAGCAACTCAACCTGTTCATATCGGACTATCGAAAAAACGAGGTAACCTGATAATGAATAGCCTGCAGGACCATTCACCAAGTGGACCGCTTAAACAGGTCAACATTATCGGTCCAAAAATACGGTCCCGTGGGGACCTCGCTCGCATGCCCCAACATCAGGTAAAGATGAGAATGAGGTGGAAATTCTTCCCACACAGAGTATGTGCCTTACGTCAGTTCACTCCTTCTAACGACACCGGATAACTACGTCAGTGCAAACGGCTTACCACAAACATTTGTTGGTAGCAACTGAAGTTATGCTCTTCCATCCCCGCATTCTCCAACTTTGGTACCTGGAATAAGACGCATCCCTTCTCCATATTATTACCAGTGCCATTTATCTTTCCACAGGTACTTTCACCCTTCTTTTTCCCGTTCCCTACTCACGATATTTCTAGCACTTTTAAGTAACGCTTAATGCTTATTTGTAGGTACTTACAAAAAAATAACTGTGAAAGGTCGACTGAACTTTTCAGCTGCTCCGTTTACCCTCCAAACAAACCAAGCAACAATTTGCAGGAAAAAAATTCAGGCGGACAATCACTGCTCTCAAAGCTATAAGCTGGCAAAATACACAGACTTCTGCCACCATCGAAAGAGCGCAACCGAACATAAAGACTGAGCCTCATGACTTAGAAGCGAAAGCTCAAAACCTATAAGTTTCCTCTACTGGCACTAATGATGTTGGATACTAGACATTAGCTGAAGCACTAACTTCAGGGAACAAGCAAACTAAACCAGGAAAATACCAGGTCAGACACTGGGCAAGACTTTTATCCTCTAACAGCTGCTAAACCCCGGAACGCTCTTCCTGCAAATGTGATCAAGCCCGCTTCGCCTGAATCCTTCGAACGCCAACTGCATACTTAACGTGTGGCCGGGATCTGCCCAGAATTAATTGAATTTTCATATGTTAACCCTTACCTTTTCCTCTTTCTTTGCTTGTACATAGGTTGACATCGGCTGGCGACGCTGGACCCAGCCGGGTAAGCACTCCTGTCGCTAAAATACACAACCGGCTCCCCCCTCACCAGGCCACTCTAACATGTAAGTATGGCATCGTAATTGGGCTAAGAGGGAAGGTGGGAGAGGTGAGGAAGTTGCGTGAATGTCAGCACGTGGACATCACATTTATCGCCGAATCCTGGCTCTCACCGGATGCCTCCGACGAAGGGATGCATGTTACTGGCGTGGAACTCTTCTGCAGGTACAGACGGCTCAGAGCAGGAGGGAGAAGGGCTCTCTACGTAAGCTCCCGTGCAAAGGCAAGGGTGGCTAGCGATACCGCCTTAACTCACCCTCCAGAATCTCTATGGTGCTACTTCACTCTCCACTGTGCCAAATACCTGGTAGAAGACATATACCGGTCCCCCACCGGCTCCCCTACACGTAAGGAACTGGTCACTAAGGCAATCTTAACGACTTCCTCTGAAGATTACGATTCCGTAATCATTGCCAGCGACTTCAACACCCCATCCATCCTCTTCGAGACGGAAGAAAGACAAATCGGATCCTTCAATCGAAAGCTGAAGAATGCGATTAAGACTACTGGCCTCTCAGAGAAAGTGGATGATGCCACACGCTGGAGACTAAACAGAAACGCATCACGCCTTGGCTACGTTCTGACGAACAATGACCTCCTTGGGGATGTATGCATCCAATCTGGCCTCAGTGACCACGCAGTAGCAACCTTCTCCGTACCTACAAGGGGGGGCCTGCAACCGGAGGTGCCCAACACTTTCCCTTGCTACAGCAAGGCTAACTAAGAGACCATGAGGGCCAGCCTCATGAATGCATCATGGCCAGTAGGCTGGACCCATCTCACAATAGATGAATACTGGTCACAAGTGAAGAAAATAATCTCTGGGACCATGAGTCATAGTGTATCAGGGGTGACACATAGACTGTCAGTGAGGACCTCGTAGCCAGGGCATGGGACAGAAAGGCCAATTCAGAGCAAGAAGCAAGCTTGGTTCGAGCGGCGCTCATCACGCAGAGGGTCTGATTTTTTGAAATATGAAAGGGTTCGCAACCGCTGAAACACTAGAGTGCGTAGCGACAGATCCTCCTACCGAACAAGCCTAGTGGGGAGGTTACAAAGTAATCCTAGGGACCTGTACCGCTTCATGTCGAGAAGGAAGTCGATCAGCGAGGGAGTGAATCTTATCACAGGTCATGATAGGAGTGTACTAAGCAGTCTAGAGATTGCCGAGCTTTTGAGCTCACACCTCCAAGCCCAACTCAGTACCGATACCGAATCCACTCCTGCTTATTGGGACACCGACTGGACCATCAGTAGGGAATACCTCTTCCGCATCTCAATCACAGAGAAGAAAGCGTCGGGGAAACTATCTAGGTCAAGTCTATGCAAGTCCCCTGGCTGCGATAACCTAAAACTGGTGATCCAAAAAAACTGCACCTAGGTGCTTGCAAAATCAATCCGAAACCTCTTTAAGCACTCAATGGAGTCGTGCAAACTCCCTGCAGAATGGATAGCCCCATTTTGTCACCCATTTGCAAGGGAGAAGACAAGAAAGGCCCTGGCAGCTACAGACCAATTGCTGTGCTGTTTATTGTGTCGAAAGTGTTGGAAAGCCTGGTGACTGGCACTACCTGGAAATGCCTCAATAGGGAAAACACAGTGCACACTGCCCAGCATGGTTTTTGGAGTGGTCGCTCATGTGCCACCAACTTACTGGCCACCTGGGACGACTGGACACTAAGCCAGGATAACACAAAAACCGGTACTTATTGTTTTTCTCGACCTAGCCAAAGCATTTGACAGTGTCCCACCCACAGCCCCGCTTCACGAGATCATGTCAGCTGGTATAAGTGAACTCCTACTCTCTTGGTTCAAGGAGTATTTAGAAAGGAGGCAGTTCTGCACCAAAGTAAAAGGAATAAGGTTGGTGTGGAGACCATCGACATCAGCAGCATCACAAGGAGCAATTCTAGGACCATTTCTGTTCCTCCTGTTTGTCAACGATCTGCCAGACAAAATATCCTCATCCATCCTCCTCCTCGCTGGCAACATTAAAATTTGGAGGGTGGTAAACAAAGAAGCTGACTGTACGGCACTAAGAAGGGACTTGCAGCAACTCGAACTCTGGTCATCGGAAAATGGCATGAGCTTCAACCTGGAAAAGTGCGGAGTAACGCACATCAGTAAATATGAAGCAAGCACGACCGACTTCCAGTACACGTTGAGCAACCGTGCCACCATTAGAGTGTCCATGCAGAATAGATTGGAGCTCAGCTTCTCCGACACCTTGAAGGCCGGCCCCAACTAAAGAGACATGGTAACCAGAGTGGACGCTATTTTGTACTTCCTGCGTAGACAACTTGGCCCCTCACCCCCGAACTCTTCCTCGCCGTCTTCAAATCCTACGTGCGGCCGCATCTAGAGGTCTGCAACAAAGTGCCCACCAAACACTCAAGAGACACTCTAATCTCCTTGAAAAAATACAAAGAAGTGCAACAAAATCTGTTTTGGGGCTAAGGAAAAAGACATATCCTGAAAGACTTAAGTACCTAAGCCCATTCACCTTTGGTTATTATAGGAAGAGGGGCGACCTTATTATGACCTACAAGATAGCCCATCAGGCAAACCACGCAAAAGAATCAACCTTACCTGCAACACAGCGGTCTTCACGAGGAAACCCCACTAAGATAACACATCAGAGAGCCAATACCGTACTCAGGTCCAATCTTTTTCCCCTGAGAGTACGCGCTTTATGGAATGCCCTACCGCGACATGTCGTCATAGCTCCGTCAGTCGACTCATTCAAGAGATGGTTAGACAGTTATGTCACCTCGTATGGTCTACCACGGACGTACTCAGAGAGTCATCAACACCACTGTCCCACCCTCACCTCCCTCCTAACTACCACTCACTGTCTCGCTCCTAATCATACCCACATCACCTGCCAATCATTTTCTAGGAAATAGTCCTACGCTATCTATTTTTATCATTCGGGTAAATCCCACGTACTTTTCCCTCTCTTTTGTTTCCCTTCCTTACTCGCTCCGGTTTTCCTCTTCTTCTTTCTTTCCTACCCTTTTTCTCCTCCTTTATTCAATTTTTTCTTCTTCATTCGTTTCGTTCCTTACTACTACCTTATTATTCTCCTTCAGATACATACACAGATAGGAATCATGACAGTCCCCTAACCGTCCCAGCAGCCCGTAGCTCCCTAATCACTCTACAAATTACAACTTACTAACCCGCAAAACGTCCACCTCACAGGAGCTAAAAGCAGGAAAGCAGAAGGGACCTCCTCGTCCACTGCAGGAGTGAACCAACCATTCGAACCAAGCCGTAAGAACCAAACGCGAAGGGTCAAAAACTATAAGTTTTCTGCGCTCGCACTATCATTATTGGATTAGAACAGCCACAGGAGGTAGTGACCCAAGGATTTTAGATGCGAAACTCAGTTAGGTGAAAGCTTCTCCTATTCTGTGAATAGTCACTTGAAACATTTGGACGATTTTGGACCTGGCAAGAGACATTGAACATTGGAAATTGTAGGCGGGAAATCGTATTATACACCGATAATGCATGGTGTAGCTTACTTTCGGTCATTATGTGAGTTAAACACCTGATCCAGTATATTTTTAGCATATTGAAGTTCGCAAGTTTATACTTACTGGTCTCTGAGTGTTCATTTTCGCTCTCTCATGACTTGGCATTAGGCACTCATTCATAATCAGCGGAAATTTAGATAAAAACGTTCGATGCTGTGGGTTATATGTAGTATCGTAGGAGGTAGACTTGTAAGTCTTTTAACATTGGATCCAGTTGCGAAGTGAATGTCGATAAGCCATGTGGCTTCACCATAAGTTTAGTGTTTAATTAAAGCTGACACTAGCTTATAAGCTATAGTTAGCTGATCTGGCTCATGGTTCTACTTCACAGTACTGCTCAGGGTAAAGAAAATCTTGTATAATCAATCTAATTGTCTTTCGCGACTGTTTCACCTGTAGCCTTGAAGTCACTTCAACTTCCCTCAAGACGTCACGTTATTCTTGAGAAGCTAGATGTGCCTCGGACCACATTCATCAGAACATCTAATGCACTTATTTGAAAACGGTGGTAGTGGATAATACCGGTTGTCGCTAAAATGAAGGACACTTCTTCGCTAGGCTTTAAGCAACGTCGTTTGGAATAGTGCTTTCACTAACATGGCGTACTTGCTTAGTTCTCCCTTTAAACTAAGACGTTGCCACAACACTTGCTGATCTATTGATTTGAATGGTGTGTCCGGTTCAGCAATTGTTACAAGTGCATGACACGGCCAAGTCCACTTCTATCCTAAGCATGCCGAACGGCAGCACGACCAGCCCATCTTAAACACGTCAGCTCTCCCAAGCTCTTCTAAAGTGTTAGGTGACCACATAATTTTGGATGGTAAACACTATGCCGGTCAGAATAACCACTAGCTTTGGCGGGTAGGTGTTTCCCCATAAATCTGAATGATAAACGATGCAAGCAAATCTGCCCAGACTGATTCACATTGGCAAGTACCTCAGTTATTGTAATCGGTAATTCTTGACTATCACATTGGAAGATACCTCTCTAACCATCACACTTGTGCAAGTCTCTTGGACAACCTTAAGTAATTGCACTGCACTACCCATAGACTTTTTTCTTTCTCTTTCGTGGTACGTCACTTCGTAGTGATCACAACTCTTCTTAGTTAAGACTGTCTCCGGGTATCACCCTTTTCATACCAAACCTATAGTATCAGTTGGCTTTGACTAGGCTCGACAAACTAACTGGATTTCGCCTAACTTTAACCACAGTTCGTCGATTTCTGTTTTCACACCTGACTGAGGTATGCTAGATTTCATTTGGATAGAAATCTCCATCTCGTTTAGATAAGTGCTAAGTCATCTTGAATAAAATTGATTTCCTGACTTCCTAGGTCAGTCCTGAGAGGCTTTACTGCACTTTCCCGCGCTCACTAAAGTGTGCACTAACACCCTCTAACCAACGCAGTTACTTTGAATGGTGGCAATCCTCTTCAGCTATGACTTACGGTGATATAATGTATCTGAATTTACCGTGTATTTGATGTTTCTGCCAGCTAAAAGCAATTAAGTATTGGCACACGGTTGCAGAAGACAGTCATCACCGTCCCATCAGCGTGGAATTTCGTCGATATTCTTAGGTAATCTTTGTGGTTGACTTAGCTATCCCACTTACATGCAGTAGCCAGACACTTATTATGTAAGGGCTGATTCTACCACCTGGTTGCCCAAAGCTCAGTGGGTGAAGCGGTGTTTAAACGCGTGACTCACTGGTTGGAAACCAACTCCACAAACCAGTTTAACCCAGCTTCACTTTGTCGGTGAAGTTATTCTCGGTGGTAAAAATATCTAATGTCTTGCTTTTCTCAGCAAAGTCGACAACTTTTGGTAAGACTCAACTGTGACGTCATCAGAATTGTAGTCGTTGGATGGAGATCAACAACAGGCATCGGTCTGTCATGCTCATCCTTAGCTATTACTCTAAGAACGAACATATTACTGTGAAGCTGTTTCCCCTCCGGTAGCTGCTACCTTTATGTAGTGGTCGGGCTCGCATATCGATGACCCAACAAGCTACTCTGCCTGGAACGCTTGTTCCTTCGAGATCCAACCAAGCCATAGAAGCCTGTTAGATAGTGCTAAGACTAAAAGCAGTCACCGTTGCTAAAACTGATACCCTACGATGGGGATCTCCCGACCGATAGCTGCTACCTTGACGTGGTGGTCGGGCTTGCATATCACAATGACCCAACGAGCTATGCTGGTGGAACGCTTGTTCCCTCGAGGTCCTACCATACCAGAAAGGTCTGTTGGGTAGTGGTTAGACGAAAAGCAGTTACCGTTATAGTGTAAATTGCTACACTATGATGGGGGTCTGAGGGCGAAGTCGTACTGCTGCTAGCTGGATGGGGTGTGACAGCAGTAAGGTGTTTCCCTTGGATGACCAGCAGTGCCAAGCTGATGCTGCCTTCTCAGTGGAAGGGGGGGTTAGAAAAGGTCGGCCCCAAAAATAACACACTCCACCACGCCCCACGGTCTGCCGGGCCGGCGGTGTTGGTTCACTTGTCGTTTCCTTTCGCTCATCCGGCCCCAAAAATACAAAAATTCAAAATAATCATACTCAAAAGGCTGGGTGTGACAGGCCTCAAGCAGATGTCCGATGGGCTCTGCGGTCACACAAATCTCTTTCAGGTACCTTAAGAAGAAATAGCCTTCCACGGTGTGGGCAGCCGGGAAGTGTCAACCGCCCTCACAACTCTGTCAGCACCCAAGTTTCTTCTGACTGCTATCCTCCTCCTCCATCATTACCTTCTAATCTTCCTTCACGTCTCTTAATTAATGATGCTGCATCATCTTCAATTTCTCCTACCTCTGCAGCCTTCGACAACGATCTGAGTCCACAGAACAGCATCCCTGGTCTCCTTAAACCACGCTCCAAATTACATATTGGAGCCTTCAATGTCCGCACCCTCCGTCAAATTGGCCAACAGGCTTCGTTGGCAAAGACTCTAGCAACTCGGGCATGGATGTGTGCTGTGTTTGTGAGACACGCATACAGGACCCAAGTGTGGTTATTCACCTGACCTCTCCTGACCAATCTGGTGAATCTGCAAAATTCACCCTTCGAGTTTCTGGAGATTCGATAGCTAGCTCTCGTGGTCTTGCAGGTGTAGGTATAGCATTAAGCACCAGGGCAGAAAACTCACTACTAGACTGGATCCCAGTTGATAGTCGCCTCTGCGCTATGAGGCTGAACGGCACAGTGAGAACTAAAAGGAATAGTGAGACTCGCCGTTGTCTCTTTGTAATCTCTGCTTACGCACCCACTGACTGTAGTTCGGATGAAGTGAAGGACGAGTTCTACCATAAACTGTCTAACCTCCTCTCGAAAGCCAAACGTTCGGACGTAGTGGTTGTTGCAGGTGACCTCAACGCACAGGTGGGTAGACTGAGTGAGGCAGAAAGGCACTTAGGTGGCACTTTCGGAATCCCAGCTGAACGTACAGATAACGGTGATCGCCTATTACAACTATGCTCAGATAACCGCCTATTTTTAGCCAGCACAAATTTCAGACATAAAGAAAGGCACTGTCTGACCTGGCGTCCACCGAGCTCGACTCAGCGATGGACACAGATAGACCACATTGCTATTAGTCATCGCTGGAGAGGATCGGTGGAAGACTGCCGCTCCTTCTGGAGTACGTGTTTGGACAGCGATCATGCGTTGGTCCGAGCACGTATATGCCTGCGTCTCAATGGACGTAGAAAAAATTTGGCAACAAAACCACTACGAGTTCTGCTGGACAACGAAAACACCAAAGCCGTGTTCAGTGAGAAGTTGGCTAGGCAGTTATCGGAACAAAAGACTGTCACTCATCCAGAAGAAGCTTGGTGCCATCTTCAGTCTACTGTAAAAGCAGCACTGGAGACTGTAGCCGACTCCAAGATAATGGCTAAAAAGAGCCAGTGGATATCAGCAGCTTCTTCCAAACTAATGGATGCACGTGAATGCATCCCTGCAGGCTCTGAGTACAATGAAGAGCGAGCGCAACTTAAAAATAAACTGACGAAAAGTCTGCGCAACGATCGTGAACAGTGGTGGGCAGCAAAGGCTAAAGAGATGGAAAAGGCAGCGGCGATCGGTAACAGTAGACAGTTATTTAGACTTATTAAGGAGACTGGGGGGAAATGGTCAACAACAGTTAGTGAGGTTATAGCGGAGAAGGACGGATCGGCGATTCACTCGCAGGGAAGGCGACTGGGACGATGGGCAGAACACTTTGAGGAACAGTTTAACTGGCCTCCAGCCACCATTGCGCTGCCCGCTATCCAGTCGGACCCTGAATGGGACATAGAGACAGGTCCCCCAACACTAGAAGAAGTTGAGAAAGCGGTAGGTAGCCTGAAACGGGGAAGGGCAGCAGGACCAGACGGACTACCTGCTGAGGTATACAAGAATGGTGGTAGAGTTCTCTTAGTCAGGCTAACGGAAGTGTTAGCCAGTATATGGGAATCAAATACGATCCCCTCCGACTGGTCTAAGTCACTGATCATCCCAGTCTTCAAGAAAGGCGAGAAGTCCTCTTGTGATAACCACAGAGGAATCAGCCTGACAAACATAGTGTCTAAGATCCTAAGTTCTATAATTCTCCGACGCCTGAGTGGAGCTCGGGAACAGCAAGCCCGAGAAAACCAGGCAGGCTTTAGACCTGGCCGTGGATGTATCGACCAAATATTCACACTGCGCCAGGTCCTGGAACATAGGCATGCTTACAGACGCCCGACAATAGCTGTATTTCTCGACCTGAAGGCGGCATTTGACTCCGTTGATCGAGAAGTCTTATGGCAGTGTCTGTCACTGAAAGGCGTGCCTAGTAAGTACATCACCTTATTGAAAGCTCTCTACTCGAACACTTGTGGGCATGTTAGAGCCTATGGTGAGTTGTCCAGGGAGCTATACTCATCAAGTGGTGTCCGTCAAGGATGCCCACTATCCCCATTCTTATTTAATTTTATCATAGATATTCTTATGGAGGTTTCCCTCTCGTCACCTAATTACAAAGACGTTGACCGGATCACAGGTGAATTTTCCTTAGATCTAGAATATGCAGATGACATAGTCCTGTTAGGTGAAGACGCTGACAAGATGCAGAGTCTTCTGAACACTTTGAGTGGGAATTTGAGAATGTTTGGGATGCGATTTTCACCACCCAAATGCAAATTTTTGCTCCAGGACTGGTCTTCAGCGGTACCGCGGTTAACAATAGAGAGTGAAGTGGTTGAGTGTGTTGACCACTTCACTTACCTGGGAAGTAGGATCAACCCGGTGGGTTAGTTGCCGATGAGATTTCTGCACGGATACAAAAGGCTCGATTGGCTTTTGCCAATTTGCGCCACCTATGGCGCCGCCGTGATATTCGTTTGTCTATTAAGGGTCGCGTGTACTGCACAGCAGTCCGCTCTGTTCTACTGTATGGCTGTGAAACATGGCCATTGAAAGTGGAAGACATGAAAAGGTTTCAGGTGTTTGACCACCGTTGCCTTCGTAGTATAGGACGTATTCCGTGGTGTCACCATGTGAGTAATGCAGAAGTTAGGTGTAGAGTTTTAGGGAGAAGAGGTAAGTCAGTCGACGAGGTTGTGAACCTTCATCGACTGAGATGGTTGGGACACGTACTACGTATGCCTAGTCACCGATTGCCTCGTCACACAATGTTGGCTGAGGTGGGTTCAGGCTGGAAAAAGGCCCGAGGTGGCCAGACTAAAACATGGCACCAATGTATGAAGTCTCTGACTGTTGGTTTAAGCCATGTAGGACGATGCAGACTAGGTGGTTGGGGTCCACGGGACAAGAGGAACCAGTGGTTGGAGACCCTAGGTGATATGGCTCAGAACCGAAGTCAGTGGCGCAGATGTATACACACATTATCCTCATCTTAACAACGCTATACCGAATCTCACTATTTTGTCACTCCTCTTTCCTTTCTTCTCGTACTTTATATTTCTTTTGACTGCATTCACTTATCTTCATCCTTCACCTCACTACCTTTTTACTTGATGTGCTGATATGAGGTGTGGCAACTCGGACCGTTACGCAGTAATGCCTGGTCCTATGTTGATGATGATGATGACGATGGGGATCTGGGGCGAAGTCGTACTGCTGCTAGGTGGATGGGGTGATAGCAGTAGAATGTTCCTCTTGGGTGCCCAATAGTACACTGATGCTGGCTTCCCAATGGGAAGGGGGAGTTAGAAAGGGCTGACTCCAAAAGTAGCAGACTCCCCCCTGGCCTGTGGTCTTCCGGTGCTGGCAGTACGGACTCTGTCCGGCGTTAGAATAACCAAACCTCAACACGACAACGCCCAAAAAGCCGTATGTGACGGAACTGAAGCAAATGTCCCATAGGGTTTGCAATCACATCTTTTTTTCCTTCAGGTACCTTACGATCCAGTCCTCCATGGTGTAGACAGCCGGAAAGTGTCAACCCCCCCCCCCCCCCACACACACACTCTCCCAATAGTACACCAGACCCAATAAAACATAACCCATCCTCTTCAACTCTGTCTCCTTCTTTGCCTTCGTCTTCTAATGCTAATATTAAATCTCTTACTCCCTACCCAACCTCTCACTCCGTAACTATTGTCAACGATCAGAGTCATCGAAACCCCATTACTAATGTCGTAAGACCCCGCCATCGGTTTCACGCAAGAGCTCTCAACATCTGACGTCTATGCCAAATCGGAGAGAAAGCATCTCTCGCCAAAACTAAGATCTCTAGCCATGGATGTATACTGTGTCTGAGTCACGTATAAAGGAGCCGAGCGCGGTTATTAAAATGATCTCACCTGACCATAGTAGTGAGTCTCTAAAATTTCCTTAAAGAGTATCCTGGGACCTAATGGTAGCTCTCGTGGACTCGCTGGTGTAGGCATAGCATTGAGTCGTAGAGCGGAAAGTGTATTTGTCGACTGGATACCAGTCAACAGCCGTCTATGTGCTGTCCGACTGAATGGATTTGTAAGGAACAGAAAGGATCGTGAGACTAGGCGACGCCTGTTCGTAACCTCCGTCTACGCAGCCACCGATTACAGTTCGGATGATGCGTAGGATGAATTCTATGAGAAGCTACTAGCTTTGCTACAGAAAGCGAAGCGTTCATATGTAGTCATAATGGCAGGTGACTTTAACGCTCAAGTAGGGAAGTTGAGCCATTGGGAAAGGTATCTACGGAATCCTATGCCAAGGAACCGACAACAGTGATCGTCTGTTGCAATTTCACTCTGACGACTTGTTTCTGGCCAACACTAACATTAGACATGAGGAGAGACACTGTCTCACATGGTGTTCGTCGACATTAAATTGACGATGGACACAGATAACACTGCTACAGACCATCGTTGGAAGGTTGCTGGACTTTCGGGAGCACCAGTGTAGACTCCGGTCACGCGCTAGTACAGGCTTGTGTATGTCTACGCCTTACTGACCGCAGGAAACAGGTGGCAGTAAAGTGCAGAGTCTTGTGAACGCGTTGAGCGGAAATCTGAGTATATTTGGCATGCGTTTTTCACCTGTCAAATGTTAGAAAACGCTCCACGACGAGTCTACAACTACTCCCAGTTCAAAGATAGGAAGTGGTAGCGGAATATGTTGACCACTTGACTTGCTTGGAGAGTTCTATCAGCCGAAACGTGTTGGTTGCTGACGAAATTTTAGCTTGGATACAGACGGCCTATTCGGCATATGTCAGCTTCCTTCATCTGTGGTACCAGCTGTCGAGATATCTGACTACCTATCAAAGGGCGACTACCCTGCGCTGCAGCTCGTTACGTGCTGCTATACGGCTGTGAGACATGGTCCTTGAAAGCAGAAGAAATGAAGCCATTACAGGTGTTTGATCACAAATGTATTTGTAGTATTGCTTGCGTTTGGTGGTATCACGATGTGAGCAATGTTGAGATCAAGTGAAGGAAACTAGGCAAGTAGATGTATGATGTTGTGAAACTTAATCGACTGAGATGGCTTGGACATATATTATTCCCGCCAACCTACCCCTTACTTCGATGTGCCATGCTGGAGGGAGTTGGATCAGGTTAGAAGAGGGTTCAGGGTAGCCAGACCAAAATGTGGTACCACTTGATGAAGTGTTTTACCGTTGGTCTGAGTCATGTAATGGGTTGTTGACTGTCTGGTTGGGGTTCGCGAGACGATAAGTCCCAGTGGTTGTGGACTCTTAGTGACATGGCTTAAAATCGGTCACAATGGTGCAGATTTATTCACTCCTTGACATCTGCTTAGCTTGAATATTTACACTAACCTTCATCTTGAGATTGTTTATTGTCTCACACAACTTTGTCTCCTATGACATCACTGTTTCTATCCACCTGTTCTTTGTATACTACTGTGAAGTGTGTCAACTTGAACCGATACAATTGTGTGTGACGTTCTACGTTGATTTTATCAGTTAGTCAGTCAAGAGCTGTGACTGATTGGCGTAGTTACTTGACTTCGAACTGTGATGGATCACGAATTGGAACCCTGCCCCACACACCGAAGTCTGAGCAGCCATGAATTTCTTCTCTTAGAGTTTACGGCTGACAAGTGTTGGTATTTTTTTCGCTTTATCTATCTGCTGGGAATTTTTCTAACAGTCAAGAAGTTGCACACCATCCCTAGTTACAATGAAAGTTATGCATTTCTGCGTAATTATGTTGGAAAACTTAAATGTAAAGTGATGTACATAGTTAGTGAGAAAGCAAATGAACTCCTGGTTGACAAATTCAAAAGGGTGAGGATCAGTCGCCTTTGGGAAATACAAAAATACTTGAATGAAGAGGTTAAACTAACTGAAGAGAAGTATGCAGTGGAGAATAATGAGATGACCAATAGCACACCGCCAGTCATCGATGAGACAAAGAGAGTTGTCAATGTTCCAAGTGAAGTTTTAAGCTGAAGAGAAGAAGGAGAAGGGAGTTAACTTCAATGTAGGATTAGTTAGTGAGTCCAAAGCTAAAGATGTCACTCCTAAAATTGAAATAGCATTGAGTTCAGTAGGTAAGACGATGTGCACAATGTACCCTAACATTTAATTGACAGAAGGGAACTGAACAGAATTTACGTAAAGCAGAAATAGTAGCTTTGAAGAACCGTGGGAACGACTGCGATATAGTAATTGCTTAATCAGATAAAGGCAATTCAACAGTAGTGTTAAACAAATCTGATTACGTTGAGAAAGTCAGCGAACATGGATGCCGGACCGCTTAATCCGATGAACTCGATTGTGAATAAGGTTTAAGAAACACGCAGTGGATCTAATGCGCCGAATGAAGCCACTTATACGTGATTTGAAAGGGTTTGATTTAAATCCGAAGACTAATAATCTCAGTAGGATTTATTATACTGTTAAAATTCATGGGTTATCCTATTGGATCCATAGTAGACTTTAGAAACACTTATGACTTGTCTAAATATTCAGCAATGGTACTAGGTCTAATTAAAAACCATTTTCGATCAAAACTTACTAACTCTTGGTTTGAGGCATGGATTGGACTATATGCAACTAGATGACGGAAAAAAATGGTTGGTTTTGATGTAACCAGTGTGTATACTAATATCATCATTATTATTATTATCAACATAGGACCAGGCATTACTGCGTAACGGTCCGAGTTGCCACACCTCACGTCAGTTCATCAAGTAAAAAAGTAGTAAGGTGAAGGATGAAGATAAGTGAATGCAGTCAAAACAAATATAAAGTACGAGAAGAAAGGAAAGAGGAGTGACAAAATGGTGAGATTCGGTATAGCGTTGTTAAGATGAGGATAATGTGTGTGTACATCTGCGCCACTGACTTCGGTTCTGAGCCATATCACCTAGGGTCTCCAACCACTGGTTCCTCTTGTCCTGTGGACCCCAACCACCTAGTCTGCATCGTCCTACATGGCTTAAACCAACAGTCAGAGACTTCATACGTTGGTGCCATGTTTTAGTCTGGCCACCTCGGGCCTTTTTCCAGCCTGGACCCACCTCAGCCAACATTGTGTGACGAGGCAATCGGTGACTAGGCATACGTAGTACGTGTCCCAACCATCTCAGTCGATGAAGGTTCACAACCTCGTCGACTGACTTACCTCTTCTCCCCAAAACTCTACACCTAACTTCTGCATTACTCACGTGGTGACACCACGGAATACGGCGGCCTATACTCCGAAGGCAACGGTGATCAAACACCTGAAGCCTTTTTATATCTTCCACTTTCAATGGCCATGTTTCACAGCCATACAGTAGAACAGAGCGGACTGCTGTGCAGTACACGTGGCCCTTAATAGACAGACGAATATCACGGCGGCGCCATAGGTGGCGCAAATTGGCAAAAGCCAATCGAGCCTTTTGTATCCGTGCAGAAATCTCATCGGCAAGTGACCCACCAGGGTTGATCCTACTTGCCAGGTAAGTGAAGTGGTCAACACACTTAACCAATTCACTCTCTACTGTTAGCCGCGGTACCGCTGAAGACCAGTCCTGGAGCAAAAATTTGCATTTGGGTGGTGAAAATCGCATCCCAAACATTTTCAAATTCCCACTCAAAGTGTTCAGAAGACTCTGCATCTTGTCAGCGTCTTCACCTAACAGGACTATGTCATCTGCATATTCTAGATCTAAAGAAAATTCACCTGTGATTGGGTCAACGTCTTTGTAATCAGGTGACGAGAGGGAAACCTCCATAAGAATATCTATGATAAAATTAAATAAGAATGGGGTATACTAATATACCAATTGACATAGTTCTAGAAGCAGTCAGAAATGAGCTGAATAATGACCATGATTCCACGCTGCGGACTAAGGTACCAATATAAGAGATTACATTAGGAGTACAACTACATCCAACTTCTACAGTCTTCAAGTCTTAGAATAATATGTACAAACAAACCCTTCTTATGGAATCAAGAATATCCTCTATCACTGAAGATATATATATATATATATATATATATATATATATATATATATATATATATATATATACAGTCGGGAACGGTTGTTTGAAAGAGCATTTAATCCGACTCCAAAATACAGTTTCGATATGTAAACTACGCGTTTACAGTGTTGAAATCGGAGCACAGATAGTTTCTTCATATAAATTCTGTAGTCGGCGCAATCCAATTTACCTTGAGTTAGAAAATGGTGACGGGGAATTGGCGATGTTGAATTGCAAACCAAAACGAATTCAAGATGCGAGTTTAGATACTAGTTTCTACAGGAAACCTCATTCAGGTCGTTACCTAGACTTCAAATCATCTCAGTCTTTTCCAGTTAAAGTTAACTTGGCAAAATTTTGAGTAATAGGGCCAAGAAGTTTACCAGCAAGACAAGATCTAAATTAAGAAGTCAGGTGTATTAATGACCTAGTAATTGTGAGAAAAGTATGACTAGTAGTGGTAACATAGGTGTCAGTAGTATTAGTAATAGTAGTGGTAATACTGTGAAGATAGAATTCAAAACCTCTACAGTTTTAATATGACTGTGATAGAATGTAGTTCCATTTTCGTTGATTTATTAGAAGTATCACACAATGGAACAGTATTGTTTACTAGATTATATTTCGTCATATCAAGATATGACTATGGAATTTACAGCATAACTAAACATGGAAACTATCTCAGAAATACTATCTAGGATTCGCAATAAGGCCGGCATTAGAGTGCCATCACAACGTACAAACTCACTTAAATCCTATCGATCCAACTGGGTAGGATAGTTTAGTTTGACAATGACTACGAGGTCAAAGTAGTCGACCAGGTTCAACTAGGCTATCCGAGCACAAAAACCTAGCTAAGTCAGAATTTTGAGATCCTAGTAAGATAAGGAATCTAAAAAAAGCTCGGCCAAAGCTATGCATTCAGTTACACACAATAGGATGTGACAGTGACTATGCTTAAAACTAATCTAGTGAAGTGGAGGGAGAGGTTGATAGCAGAATCTTAATCAAATCAACAAATACATACAACAGAAATGGCTCAACACCTGTTCCGGAAATATGGAAAATCTTACTACCCATATCACAAAGAAGGCGAGGGAATTAGAACCATGTCTCAAAGTTGTGAAGTTATCTTGATATTACCACAGTCAATAAATTATGTCCGAAACGTTATCCAGTAAATAATACTGTTTCACTCTGTGATGCACCTAATTTGTCATCTGATATGAAAATTCATCCTGCCACAGTGCCTAATTTTACCTCTGGTAGTAATAGTAGTCCTGTAAATTAAGAATGCCATGATATTCCTCTGCCATATTAATTACTAGTCGATTGTTTCAAGCGTCAAATGATATTGATTGTTTTTCATCCTGTTCATGCTCATTGTAAAACTACTTTGTCTTCAGCTTCAGATAATCATGCTGAATGAGTGAGGTTAGCAATCAGGTAATATATCATAGACGGCTACATTCTCCAGTCAAGTATAAGTGTATTACCTAAAGCATGTTCGGCTTGCGTGTCTTCTAGCAACGTAAACAGTAATGAATGTTTATTTATTAGTGGCTGAATTCGACGAGCGTAATAGCAAGCTACTAGCTGTCTATTATTATTACTATTATTATCGTCATTATTATTTGTCCTTTGGGTTCCTAACGGAACAGGGCTTCAGTAGCACGTCGACATTTCATTCTATTCTCTGCAATCTCTTCAACCTCGCTACACGACTGCCCACAAGCTTTCATTTCTTCTTTACTTGACCTCCTCCATGTCACTCTCGGACGCCTAACTCATCGTTTCCCCTTTGGATTCCACTCGAGGTCCTAGCACGTGATGCCCCCGAATGATTTTCTCAGTGTATCCCTAATCCATCTCCACTTTCTTCTGCATATCCAATGGGTGATAGTTCGTTGGTTGGTTCGTTGCCAGCCAGAGTAAGTTCGTTGTTGCTTATTCTATCTGACTATCTGATCTTCAATATCGAGCGAGTGTAGGTGGCAGCTGTTGATGAATGTCTGTAGTTTGTTGGAAATACTTTTTGTAACACGCCGTCTCAACTATATAGAAGCACTGACTTGACATTAGTGTCGAAAATCCGGATATTGTTATTTATGCTGAGTGCAGTGCAGATCTCCACACTGATTTCAGATTAATGCAAGAAGGCATGTCTTGCTGTTTTTTCCGATCCTGGCTTTGACGTCCTTATATGTGCCTGTGCAGGCTGTAGTTGAAACGATGTTGCATAGGTAGGTAGGTGAAAGAGACTACTTCCTTTAGATTTCTCCCACTGATGGTGATTAGTGTTTGTTGTTGTTGTTTGGGTATCTTCATCACCTCTGTCTTCTCTACGTTCACCTGAAGGAAGTCCTGTCGTCGCGACCTCGCCTCTTCTGCTAACTTGTTAGTTTTTGCCTTTAGATCTTCGAATTTGTACGACATTAGACACAAATCATCATCGGCGAAATTCAAATCATGTAGGGTCTTTTCATCGGTCAAACAGCGTATACCCATCTCGCCCTACGTAATTTCAAATTTCAGGACTTTGCTTTTGTCGGAGGGTTTGTGTTCACTGATAGTTCTGTGGCTGCTGGTGATATTTCTGGACGAGTTACAGGTGGTGGTGTTGGTCGATTCAAGAGTTTTTTAAAGTGATCAGCCCATCGTTCCCTTTGTTTATCCTCTTCGGTAACTAGGTTTCCTTCTCTACCTCTCATTGGTTTCGTCTGCGTTAGTCTCTTCCCAAATAGTAGCCTGGTTATTTGATATAATGTTGTCAGGTCTCTCCTACCAGCAGCTTGTTCTGCGCTGTCTATAGCCCTTCATTAAGGTGGGAAAGATAGAATAAGTCAACAAAATATTGGCCGAGACTTACTACTGTAGACAATTTGTGTCATTTCACTACCTATTTCCAGCTGGTATTTTTTAGGTTGTCTTTTAGTCATCGGAGTCCTTTTTCTGTTCCTAACACCATGTAATTAAATTCTACAACTTGGTACTTATCTGTTAATGAACTAGGTTCTTAGCAGCACATACTGTTTAAAAGCCATTAATACTGCAGGGTTTATAAATAGCAGTATGATGTTGCCTGTGTTATCCCGTCGTTGGTTGGATCGACTCCAGCCGACAAGTCCCAAATAGTACGAAACGTGCCTCCTGGATTCCACTGGTAGCCACTGTCCATCATTATGATCATAAACAGCCAGTGTTCGTTTTGAACCTGTGACTCACTGACTAAGTATCGAGTGACTGCATCACCTCTCTCTTCCCCACACTTTACAGTTTTCTTTCTCCAAAACATCCTGTCGATGTCTTACGGATTCATTAGTTTCACTTTACGTTTTCTGAGCGTCGATGAAACACTTCCAACAGTGTTTACGTATAGTCTAGAAATTGCATATTAATTGGACTACTAAGTCGTATTTCATAAATGCTCCTTAGTAAATAGATAACTTATTCGACCTTGTCTACATCATACTTCGAACTAATCTGTTTCTTCATTTCGGTCTTCGTAACATTCTAGGTTCAATACATGTGAAAAAGGTTTCCATTTCGTTAACATGTCCGCTCAAGGTAAGTGCACCTTCTCTTACTTTCAAGAATTTTCAAAATATCCGGTTCTATGCTATTCCTGGAGTTAAGACAGCTTATGTGCGTGATAAACCACATATGAACGTCGGTACGATAGGACATGTTGACCATGGAAAGACTACTCTCACTGCAGCTATCACTAAAGGTAAGGAGAAATGTCAAAACGTTGGTTATTTTAGTTCTCGCTGAGAAAAACACATCTATTTATCGAAGCTACGAAGAAATTGACGCTGCACCTGAGGAACGACGGCGAGGTATCACAATTAATGCAGCAGTGGTTGACTATGCAACATCCAATCGGCACTATGCGCACACGGATTGTCCTGGACATGCTGACTATATAAAGAACATGATAACTGGAGCTAATCAAATGGAGTGTGCTATTCTGGTTGTTGCAGCGACGGATGGTACTATGCCTCAAACTAGAGAGCACCTATTGTTAGCTAAACAAATAGGAATCGAAAGACTGGTTGTTTTTATCAATAAAGCCGATGCAGCCGATCCAGAGATGCTAGAATTAGTTGAGCTAGAAATTAGAGATACGTTGAAACAATATGGATTCGATGGAGACAATACACCAGTTGTCAGTGGTTCTGCTCTTTGTGCACTGGAGGTAGGTTCTTATTACAATAACTACTATTAAACAGGACCGGAATCCCGAATTAGGCAAGGAAAAATCGAAAAACTTCTTGATGTGATTGATTTAGTCCCCATGCCAAAACGAGAAAAAGATAAACCTTTCCTACTTCCCATTGAACATGTTTTCTCCATTACTGGTCGAGGTACTGTGGTTACGGGTCGCGTAGAACGTGGAACACTAAAAGTACAGTCACCAGTAGAGATTGTAGGTTACAGTCACATTCTGAAGTCCACTATCACAGGTAAGTTATGATTTAGCTTTTAGCACTGTTCACTCAAGTAATACAAATTAGTATCAGAGTAAGACAAACGAGATTTGTAGAATAATATAAAAAAAACTCATTTCTTTATTTCATGACTGCTTCAGATGTCTGTAGCTGATACAGACAGCCTAAAACATATCGAATCATCACACAACAAAAATAGTAGGCAGTTGTATTGTGAAAACAATAATCAGGATGTTTTTTGTTGCCAGTAAGAAACATTCCCAAGTAAAATATGTGTAATCACTGTTTTTTCCACTCTTATTTGTGAGGACTATTTCTTATCTACTGAACGCGTTTCTAAATGATTTTTCGTTCCTTGGCGATTTGTTACATACTTTAATCTACTTTCAATTGAATAAATAGCTGCGAATATAGAGAGCTCGTTTGGCACGAAGTTATGTCATGATTTTCAGTTTCAGATTCAACAAGTAAGCGGTTGTACTGAGTAGTATTAAGCAAACAGGGTGAATCTCACTGATTGTTAAAAAGAAGCTACAATTCATGAATCAGCTGTTACTATTATCATATGGCTGTTTAATTTCACACTTACACGCACATGTTTTTAGAAAACTACATTCCATCCACTGTTCAATAAAATTGTTCATATTAGCCATTCTTGAAGTTGTGGCTGATTGGTTTAAAGAGTTGACTTTCAACCAATAGGTCACACGTTCGGACTCTAACCCACCTATCAAGGTTTAAACAGCCAGGTAGGCATCACATAATAGGTGTATGGCTTATTGCCTACTGCCCAAATGTGCTCAAGGTTGCTTAGTAGTATATTTCGATAAGAGCCATTCATTTTAAGATCCTTTGAATAGTTCTTTTTTACCTTGTTATACAGTAGTATACAGCCAACACCAAAGGTTAAAATACATGTTATAGGTGTTTGCCAGTCTTCAGACTAAATATATATCTAGATCTCATAGTGTTTGTAACCAACCAGTGCATAAATCAACACTTCATGTTGATTTTTATAAATGTCTCTAGACATAAACTGCTATTTTCACTCAATATACCCCTTGAATTTCAAAGGTTATTTTAAGCATGAAATATTAAAACAGTAATGCCTACCGTCTTCTAAGAAAGTGACTATGACGTTCTTGTCTATGCATGACTTGTCTAACCAAACACATAATAATTGGTGTTTTGATGATCACAAAAGCATGTGCTATACTATCTAGCGTCGGTCCTCGAGACGATAGGTCCCAGTGGTTGCGGACTCTTAGTGACATGGCTTAAAATCGGTCACAATGGTGCAGATTTATTCACTCCTTGACATCTGCTTAGCTTGAATATTTACACTAACCTTCATCTTGAGATTGTTTATTGTCTCACACAACTTTGTCTCCTATGACATCACTGTTTATATCCACCTGTTCTTTGTATACTACTGTGAAGTGTGTCAGCTTGAACCGTTGCACTGTTGTGCAAGTGTCTACGTTGATTTCGTCGGTCGGTGCTGTTACTTTAAGCGATTTTAGTTAATCATTCATCTAATTCCAAGGACTGCCTTCACTGGTAGTTATGAAAATGTGGTCTAATAATTTCAGACTTTCTACAACCAAGGTTTCAATTTTAGTTCGTCTCGCAGAGGTAAGTAGTGATCATCGCACAATAAGTGACTAATAACCCTGGTACTCTGGGATTTAAAACTATTTCGAGTTCTAAAAAGGCTTTACTCAATAATATTGGTTGGCCAAGTTGAACCAACCATTTCAAGTAGTTTTGCCTTGAAAAAAGATATGAAACTATATACCTGATACTGTGCTTCATCTCTGTGGATCATTCAACGCTAAACTTATGCATTCCAATGATAATCCATCTACTAAGATTAAATGGGCTGGATAGTATTATTTCGTAAAACCATTGCAGCTGATGTAGCATTGTTTGTTGTTGGTTTACCCAACTGCTCTGTTAGGTGGAGTAGGATTAAATTACTGTAAGGGAAGGAATCATCTTCATATCAAAGCATTACACCAGTCCAAGAAGTGATTGACTATCCTCTTGAGCAGTACTTTGAGATGTCAACCTCTTGATTTGAGTCTATATCTCTGGACAGTTAATCGTGATTTAAGTGCATTATGAGTGTCGTTAACCAAATTATAATATTATAACACCAGTTCCTTTGTTTCCTTTTATTTTCTCCCTGTAGCTGTCTAAAACTTCTGAGCTGTGACTCATTGTTTTAAGGACTTCTTTTTGTGATGGGTTTAATAATCAGTGGCACCCACCGAGGTTCGAGTTGACGGATTGTACCGTTAGCCATCACTATTATTATTATTAGTCCCTTGGGTTCCTAGTGGAACATAGGGCTTCAGTAGCACGTCTCCAGTGACCTCTGTTCTCTGAGATCTTTTGAACCTGGTTCCACAACAGCCCAGAAGCTCTCATTTCCTCCTCGCACGACCTCCTCCATGTCACCCTCGGACGTCCAACTCGTTGCTTCCCATATGGGTACTACTCCACAGTCTGGCCTGGTGCGTGATGTCCTCAGTCGGCCTTCTCAGTGCATGCCCAATCCATCTCCACTTCCTGCATATTTGTTGCGTGATAGGTTCTTGGTTGGTTGGTTCCCAGAGCACCTTGTTGCTTATTCTTTCTGGCAATCCATCTGATCTTCAGTAGCGAGCCAGTGTAGGCGGCAGTTGTTGATGAATGTCTGTAGTTTATTGGAAATCCCTTTCGTGATGCGCCAAGTCTCTGAACCATACAGAAGCACTGGCTTGACGTTGGTGTTGAAAATCCGTATCTTGCTCCGCATGCTGAGTGCAGAAGATCTCCACACTGGTTTCAGGCTAATGAACGCCTGTCTTGCTTTTCCGATTCTGACTTTGACATCCTCGTCTGTCCCGCCACGGCCGCCTGTAGTTGAAACAGTGCTGCATGCCTAGGTAGGTGAAGGAGGTTACTTCCTTTAAGTTTCTCCCGTTGACGGTGATTGGAGTTTGTTGTTGTTGATGGTGGTGGTGCGGTATCTTCATCACCTCTGTCTTCTCTATATTCACTTGAAGTCCCGTCTTCGCTGCCTCTTCTATCAACTCGTTAGTTTTTGCTTGCAGATCTTCAAGTTTATGTGACATCAGGCACAAGTCATCACTGGCGAAATCCAAGTCTTCTAGGTTCTTTTACGCAGTCACCACAATATACTTATGGCTTATTACTTACTGCATGAATGTGTAAAGTGTTGTTTAGTGGATTTCCATTCGATTCTGAAAATACCATTCATGTAGGTCTTTACTGTCCGTGAATAGCAACCTCAATATGCATTAGCCATGGTAACTTCAACTCATTGCCATTTATGCTAAGTTCGCTTCATCCACCCTGGGTTCTTCGAGTAGAATGCCAAATCGAATTCCATATCGTATATATATCTGTTGAACTTTCATTACAGATTGAAGATTTGGCTAGTGTGAATAGCAAATCGTCAAATCGAAAATCCTTGGCATAATATTTGTCTTCCGATCGTGACCCATTTTAATGCTTTGTTTTCTAACTATGTGAAGCACTTGAAACATTGGGTGTACCTCTATATTCGATTGTGGAGATATAAGAAGCAATGACTTAAGTTCTATAAGAAACCCTACGAATAATTTATTTCATTTTCGTTCTGCATATCTAGAATGAGTTTTTCAATTCTTATCCTAGACCATACTACTAGCTACCTTAATTGTTTAGGTTTGTATAACTTCAATAAAAGTGATTAACAAACTGAATTATCCTCTTTTTTATTCCAGGGATTGAAATGTTTCATCAGCTCTTGGACCAAGCTGAACCAGGAGATCAAGTTGGCGTTTTGCTGAGGGGAGTGAAACGGGAGGAAATTAGGCGTGGTCAATTTGTTATAGAACCAAAATCTCTTTCAATGCATGATTATATTCAATCTCAGGTTTGTCTTTATTGTATGTGTATTCTATTACACTTTAAATCATAGATTCTTTGTTACTCAGGGTTGTTTTCATTGTATCATAATGCACACTTTTTAATACTACAATCAGTATATTGTGAACTGAAATACTGTGCTGTTGCGAAACGATTATCGATTAACACTCTATGGTCCCCTACAGTCGGAGGTAGGAAAATATTAGCCACTAGGGGAATCAACAAAGCATAAACCAAGCAAAAATACTCGACATTTATCACTTCATGGTAAGGCGGATGAATACACTTAGATTGTAAATTGCCAACGATTCGGTTATGTCATAGATGATGATGTATAATAATCTGGTTGTCAGTAAATTGGTTTATTGCATTAATATAATAGAGTAATCATTTGATTATTTGAGATAGCCGTAGTTTTGTAGACTAGTATTTATACTGGATGAAAATCTGGACCGCGGCCGGGTTCGAATCCGGCTTGTTGAATTATAAAAGTCTCTGCCCTGTATAAATTTTGCTTATTTCACTTTTCTGTTTAATTTCATAGGTGTATATGCTTTCAAAAAAAGAAGGTGGACGAAGTAAACCATTCGTGAGTAATCATCAACTTCATGTTTTCAGCAAATCGTGGGATTGTGCTGCCTACCTAGTACTTCCTGAGGGTAAAGAGATGGTTATGCCCGGTGAAGATGCTTGTGTCAATCTCCACTTCCAAAAGAAAATGGTTAGTGGGTTGTTTGTTTTGTCTTCAATCAAATATTACAATTGATTGCTTGTTGTATACGATGTCAATAGTAGTGTAGGAAACGATAAAACAGGGAGACGAAGGAAGGAATATTTATTATTGACATCTTATACATAGTAGTCATCAAATATTGTACACCTTCCATTAAGTCAGTCATTTGCATAATGTGCTTCATTTCCTCTTCTGCTTATATCTGGATTTCTTGATATGCCCACATTGTCTCTTGCCTTTTTCTGGGTAGAATATTTACTCATATGATTTCAGCCGCTTTCTCAACCTATACTACTTATATCCATTCTAATCAGCAACGCTCACTACAGTAGTTGCCAAGATTTATAATTGGACGTTGACCGATGCGCACGCAAAATTTTTTCTTATCAGGAAATATTTATTAATACTTATTGGACTATTAGTGTAATTAGGTGAAGGGCTTAAATAGAGTTCCAGTCTAAATAATACAAAGTGAAAAACCGAGCATCTTTTTCATCATGACATAAGTAAAATTAAAATATTCGTCAGAATGATAGATATTTTTATTCACCACCTGAATTGTATTTGGCCACTGATGAATCTGATACGCTTGTAACGGGAATAATATTGTTTACCTGGGACCCGAGTTCGATTCCTGGTGGAGTTATGGACATGTTCTGCTGAAGAGTCCCATACAAGGACGAAGCAGCTGGTTGTCCAGTGCCCTCTGGTTTCCAATATCCCTCCAACTAATGTCGTCGGTTCGTGATGAACACCTTCCTTTTGTAAGTTTAAATCTACTTCACCAGGGAACAAACCTAATCTGAATGCTGCTAAACTCTTAGTTCTCTGTCTCAAAGTATCTGCGGGATCGTTACGAGAAAGAATATCTGTACAATCCCAAAATATTTTCTAAGTAACAAACTTATTATGTAAATAAATAGACACTAGAGTATTTTTATTTTAAACCTTTTGAAATTAATTTATGATTTGTTGTAGGCTCTCGAAGTTGGACAACGATTCACTATTCGTTCTGGCGGTAATACTATGGGGTATGGTGTTATTGGCAAAGTCCTGCCTGGTCCTGGTCCTGGAGCCTGGTCATAATTGTAATTGTTTCTAACTTCCTTATTCATTCTATCTCCGAATAAACTTTAGTGTGAATATGTTTTCTTAATCTTTGAATACACACTTTTAAACTTAGCCAGCACTATCATCATGTCATTGTCTTTCCAGTCATCATGGATACCCAGTCATTCATAATATCTCTCAATGTATACCAGGAATTTCTTTTGATATTGCTTCTCAAAGCAGTATATTATATGTATGAATAATCAGTTGGCTTGCTTTTGTATCTCAGTAGCGATTAGGGGGTTACTTTGTTAGGATAATTAGTACCTAAGAGTTGCAGAAGTTGACAGTTGTATGATATTGCATCCTGGAAATGATCCAAAAAGGGTTTTGGGGTCGTTCAGAATTGGATATGAGAAAATTCCACAGGCGATACGTATTCTCTCGATTATTTCACGGTCAACTTTCAACCAATAGGTCATAGGTACAGAAATAAAACGCTCTCCGCCACCTTGTGTACATGCAGCCAGTGAGCTACTCCTACTGTGCGAGGGCTAATGATAGTACCTGACCCCTCAAACTTAGGTAGGTGGGGCGTGTGTTGAAACTTATGGTTTAGGGAGATGACTGTCAGTGATTGGGTCACGAGTTCCAGCCCCGCCCCACCCACCGAGGTTTGAGCAGTCAGGTAGTACCATTAGCTATCACAAAGTAGGTATAGTTCACTACCTAATCTATGCACAAGGTTTCTGAGAGAGTTTTTTGATGGCCTTTGAAGATCGGGGACATTCCTAGTATCCTGTTGTTAGCAATATCATCGCTTTTCTCGTGCGCAGAGGATTGACCAAGAAGAGTTATGAGGCGAAATTCTAGACGAAGAGGTTGAATCCGTCGTAAATTGGCATGTATTGAAATAGCAGCAGAATATGTAACGCACACTGAGCATCTGACGTGGTGGTGATTAAGTCAAGTTGCAGAAAATTAAACATACCCATTGGTACACTGACTGTTAGTCTGACCTATGTAAATAATGAACAATCCTCGAATTGTTGGGTCTCAGTGTGTTAGTACAGTTTACCGTCGACCACGGTAGTGCAGATTATTTCATTCTTTGTTTACTTTCATATTTCGCATTCCCGTTTGCGCTTCAAAATGGTAGAAATGTATTCATTGTTTCAAATGTCTGTCACTAATATCTATGTATCCTATCTCATATTCACTGTAGTAGCATCTTTTCCTGCTAATCTCCTGTGAAGTGTAACAACTTCAACTGACTAACTGATAAAATTACCGTAGAACCTTGCACACAACTTCATTGGCTCAAGTTGCTACACTTCATAGTAGTACACAAAGAACAGGTGGATCGAAAAAGACTGATATTAAAGTAGTGTGAGAAAATAAACAATCTGAAGATCAAGGTTAGTGCAAATATTCAAGCTTTAGAAGATATCGCGAAATGAATACATCTGCGCCATTCTGACCGATTCTCAGTCATCATACAAAGTGTCGTCAAACACTAACTCCTGGTCTCGGGGACCTCAAGCGGACAATCTACATCGCCGCACATAACTCAGACCAACAGTAAGAGACTTCGTCGAGTGGTACCAGATCTTGAACTAGCCACCATCGACTCTATTCTAACCTAATCCAGCTTCGCGTAGCATGGCAATTTTTGAGGCCACCACAGGTAACCAAAACCAACTAAAGAGTATAAATTAATTCGAATAGCAACTTCAAATTATTTGTTAACCAGTCATCTGTTACCGTTAAGTTTATCTGATTAGCCAGTTTGTTTGAAAGAGGTCCCTCTGACGACATTCTTTCAACTTCTAGTGCTATGAAACTTGTTATATTCAGTTTCGAATACTTGAAGTAGTACAAGTGTGGACTTCACCACGGGAATCAGTAACCATGATAGATACTACTGTTGTACCAACTTTGCGGCTGAGTATTCTGTGGAAGTTTCACTTTTAATTTGACTGTTCCCTCGTCTATGTGGTCGAGTTTTAAGGAAATTGACTTCTTTTCATAGTAGCTATTTTCCCATCTCCCGTTTTCTATGCACTATATTCAAATGAATTCGAGAAGGTAGTCACTTTGTAGTAGACACTATTCGGTTAACTTCAGTTCATCTTAATAATTCTCCCTTCTGATCTTTGGAACATCATTCTCATTAACTGCATCTAGCAGATGTTTGTCAGCCTGTCTGAGCTCCACCGAATATATTAAGTCAAATTGTTTCGTTGGTACTTGTTTTATTAATATAGAGCCATATTCTTTAGTCTATCATCGTATGGTTTTCTCCAGAATCCTCTGTCGTTCCCCATGAGGGCTTAAGCAAGCAAAGGAACAGTTGTTTGCTGCCATTGAAGTGTTCTGGATCTGCCCTCACAGCAAGTTGATGATATCCGGAACTGCATACCACTTATTCAGAACGCCAGCTAGAGGCTTCGGGCGTCTGAAGTTAACGCCTATCAATCTAAATGAGTTCGTAGTTTTCGTATGTAGGGGGAAAGAAAGCTTACAGATAACAGCCACTGCTATTTTGTTCACTCCTATGAGATAACTACAGTCACTGCAAGATGCCACGAGTGTATTGTTGTCCTACGGTCCCGAGATTTTGTGAATGACCACGACTGTAGGTCTTTGGAGACAAGACACTTCTTAAAATGTCTTTCTCAACGACCATGGTCCACCAAATTTAGCTCTTATGCTGGACGATCTGTTGATTACCCACCCTTGAGAAAGCAGCGGAAACATCCCAGTTTTCCATACCGACGTCGAAGTCACCTTCATTGTTGGAGGCCTCCCTGGAGGTGAACGGCTGCTTTTGTGGAGCTCTTTGGTCCCCAAACTTCTCATTGCTACTGTGCAGCATACGGTATCTTACTACTCTTAGCTGAACATTTCTCTTTGCTGGATATGGCTATTATTGCACGCGTGAACACTAAATAGGATGCAAAAGTTCGATCGACAACCAACTTTCGTAATATTATATGCTGTGCGTGAGTTTTCGTGAATAAGACAACCCTTTTTCTGTACTGTTTCAGACGCCCAGCGGTAGTTACCACCGAAGTGGCTTCAGGGTTTGAGGCTAATGTGGTTGTGAATGGCAGACGTCTGACCGTCGGTGAAGCGTTACCAACTATCTCTGTGGCATGGCTCGCTTTCATGGTAGCGAAATGAACGGATACATGCTTCCGGCTAACAACTACGAGAGTCTTTTAAAACCTGTCTAAAGGAGCCTGTAGCTAAAAGTGAGTTCATGCAACACTATGTACAAACGTACCAGAACGACATTTCCGTAAGCATTTTTGTGCACCACTGAAGTGAAAAGTTTGCTCATCGTTAGGTAGGATTGCTTGTATCAGGTGGCAACACCATGTAGTTCTGAGGCACTACAGCTTTTATGTGGGCATGATGGAGATCATTCAATAAGTGAAGTCATTTGGGAACCCGGCTGCAGTGACTCCGATATGCGCTATGCACGTGAACTCAACCTCTCCCATACCGTTCACTGTTTCCTAGCTTTGGGAGTGGATGGAAGAAGCGGACGGGTGGTTGGTATATGACGTGGCGACATGGAATGAAAGGCAGTCATATCGGGTTATTATCTGCTGGTGCATCACGATTCCCTGGGTAGGGTGTGAGAGACCATGCAACCCAGTGGCTTGAGAAGTCATCAGTATATCTGAAGCAACGAGAGAAGATAGGTGGTAAATTTGATTGTTTCCGAGCACTTGCTTATTTTATCAATATCACGTCGGTCAGAGAAACGAAATAAGTAAAATACACCTTTCTAGAATAGTGTGATAGTAATGAAAACTTCTGAAGATGTAGGAATCGTTGCATTTTGTTTACACATGAAACCATCCATATTGTCTTGCCGCCTTTCTGGGTTTCCGAGAGATTGAACCGACATCCAATATCAGTGGTGTGAATAGAGGAAAAGTGTAATGTCTGAATTCTCGCTTCTAGGTTTTCAGGATCAGCTTTTCGTTCATTTAGGCTCCTTTGATGGTCGTGGAAGTCTCGTCAGTTTACCTCCTTATAACTTTGGAGGTAGTAGTTGTCTATTTGAAGGTGTCTTCTACAAATGATAGGTTCCAATATTAAATGTACGACATATTTTCACGCTCTAAAGTAAACCAATTGATTTCTTCTCTCTCGCTTCTAGATTTTGCGTAACGGTTCCAGACGTAGTAGGTCTACCCACTCGACTGCTGTAGCTCTGGTTAGCCCAACGGGTGGTTGGGTGTTGTTTCTTTCTCCCGAGGACTGTGGTGCAGATGGATCCCTCAAGTGTCGTGCCAGCAGACAATTAGTCGGACTGGTTGTAAAAAAGGGATGAAAAACATGTGCAGAGAAGTCAAGGGAGAGAAAGTGCGGAGAAAGGCAAATAGAAAAAGAAAAAAGATTAGGACAAAGGAAACGGCACTGAAGAAGGAACATTGGTAGGTTTATGGGGACGGGGTGATAGGGAGAGCATTTTCGTTAAAGTTTGAGAGCGTACAGTCAGAAGGAAGAATAATAAATAACACGATAGAACGAAGAGGGAATATAGTAATTCTTTTAGTAGGTGACGGTAACTGGAAGGGACGTCTGCAGGAAAGTATAAGGTTGAGCCAAGTTCTCAGTGTTAGTGGTTTTACAAAGTGTTCAGTAGCGGCTGGTCGTACCGAGTTAGTAGGTTGTGTCAGCTTAGTCCACATCCCAGTTGGATGAGCGCAGACCGTGCATCACTGCGTAACTGTCCAACCTCTTCTTGAGGCTGTAAACAGGCGAAGCAGTAGCAATCTCGGCAGGCAATGCGTTCCAGTGGCAGCAAACCAGCAGAGACAAGAAGTGTGATCGCACACAAGTTTTCACCCTCTGGTGAGCGATCCTCCTTGGGTTACCACGAGGATCGCCATGGTGGTCGTTCGGTAGGATTCCACTGTTCGGATGACTTGGGTTACTGAGTATTTTGTACGCCGTTATCAAGTCACCATGTAATCTGCGGTAGCTTAGAGAGAGGAGCCCTATATCTTTCAGCC